TCTTAAAGGCTCTACCGGCTCACCTGCAACAACTGCAGGAGAAGAAGGACAAGGAAAAAGAGAAGGATAAGGAAAAAGACAAGGACGGTACCGAGAAACCCAACTGAACTATGCACTGCTAACGCGAACACGATTTGTTAAATAGATAACTTATGTTAATTCCAATATTTATTCATTGTGTAAAATTGATCAATGTTTCTAGGTTGAGAATTTCATCTCTGTTATCTACGACTTTATGTAATCTGTTTATCTTTGCCTTTTTTCTTATGAACTTGGATTCTTCTGTGAAAATATCTATACAATAGATTCTTCTTTATTCTTTATTGAAATTCTTAACCTAGATATTTTTGTAGGTGTTATGCTTAATGAGCATGTTGTTTAGAACTTATTATTACGCGCCTATTTCTTTATAAAAAGCTATTATTGTTAAATCTTAAACAGCGAAATACATAGACTACAACAAAAGCCTATTCTAAGCATTTACTATGGTCCTTTGACTTTATATTTTACAATTTTTATAATTCTTTATTTTGTACTGGTTTTAAATTATTTTGTTTTAATATAATCTATAACATTCATAGTCAATTTTATAAGGTGTCTAAATCCTTAAATTATGATTATGATATATGTATTTCGTGTAAAGTATATATATTTTTTTCATGATTTGGTTAATTCACGAATTATATAACCACTTATGTACCTGCAAAAACTATCATTCGATTGTAACTTCTATATCATTCAAAATAACTATAACTAAATAGTGTTATTCGGAAAATGTCCATTGTAATTTCAGAATTTGTTAATACGCATAAAATGCGCAATATCGTTATACTAGTCCTTAATATAACCTAATATGGCTGAATAATAATTCTCCTTTGCATTTATAGAGCACATTTTATTGTAAATTATATAATTTCTTCTATCTGCGTATTGATATCCATTTTTAAAATGAATTAGAAATTTCGATAAAACTACTTTAAACGAAATCTTGCTGAATCATATCCTTAACGAAATACCTGATAGCAACTAGCTGAGATCTATATATTTACAGACTTTAGCTGAAACAATAGAAATCTTGCATTGTATCTACGTATGAGATTTATATTAGATTATATTATATTTATTGCATATGGGAAAATATAAAAAAAAATATGACTTACCCACAAAATATGATTGTAGTTTAGCCTTAAGAGAAAATATATTAACCGTATTTCTGTATGAAATTATATGTAGTTTTTATGTGGATTATTGAATAATGTGTTTTTATTTTTACATGCTTAAACCTTCATTCACGTGAACTCCTTTATTATCCTGCCCCTCATCCTAAAAAAATCGTTTGTGTAGAAAATAATGATATTTTTTTAATCCTGTGACGAAACGTAAAATAAGTAACTATCTAAGGCTAAGCAAGAGCAATTTTAGCAAGTTGAAGATAAAAATGTATAAAAGGCTTTTTCTAAGATAGTCTTGGGAGACCTATAAAGATTTAAAAAAAATATTTGAATTCCGTTCCAAGCAAAAGTAATATACTACGAACTTTAATAACGTTACTTGTGCTAATGTGAATTTGTAACCGCATAACGAAGACATGACACGTGCTTATCAGGAAACATTACGTGGACATAATTCACGTCCAGCACGTCTAGAGATAAATTTAACAACCAAAGGATATCAGACGTAATCAGTAAACAATTCAAACAACTGTTTACATGATTTTTGCCTGGAAATGTAACAATAAAATCAGAAATACGTTTCAAATGTTATCATTTTTATTTAAGCTAAGTCTTATTGCTAACAGTGCCTTACAATTAAATAAGTAACTAGAGCTCGCTGTATATCTTATGCTTACTATCATCTAATTATTTATATCTCTTATCATTTTATCTTATCAATGATAGATATCATATATTTTGCATTGTGATGGTGACATGATTCTGTAAGTGCTCTGAAGTTCCATGTAATATTTGGATCCTGCAAAAAATAGTGTATATCACTGAATTAGAATTCACATGTAGTGAACAAAATGTACCCATGTTGATTTATGAACGGAAACACACATGCGGTTACGTCAGTTGACGTGACTGGCCTTCAAGCGTCGTTTTGACATTCGTCATCTTGTCATTGTCAATTACTTGTCATTTGTCAGTCAGTTCGTGTTATGCTTATTGGAGTTGTGGTCGTCTATAATTTGTATTGTATTATGTGTAATTGTTAGTTTTAATAAAATCATTTATCTATTTTTTGCTCTAAAAACTGTTCCAATTAAATATAAAAATAAAACAGCATCAAAATGGTTAGTGGACGTGCGTTACATTTCGTCTTTAAAGTCGCCGACAGAACACTTACAGCAAAATTTTACAGAGAAGTTCTTGGAATGAAGGTATGGTATTACTTTGTCTTAATTACGTATTATACACTAACTTATTGTAACAACTAACATTAGCAGTCACCGAGCTGTGATATGTACCTCGTTTTAAATGCATGAAAGTACTCGTATTCAAGGTCATAATTCTAGAACAAACGACTCGGACAACCGGCATCTTGTGGAACTAATTACCATAACCATGTATTTATTACATTCTACACTTTAAACAGTTGATATTAAGCTTGAGCACCTTTTACTTTGCTGTACTTATGTAAAGAAAGTTATTAAATATATTCATAGTATTTTAATTAAAAGTCATGATTATTTACAGGTACTTCGCCATGAGGAGTTCAGTGAAGGTTGTGAGGCTGCCTGTAATGGGTAAGGAATATTTTTGAATTAACTTGATTGAATAATATTTTTAATTTAACAAGAAAACTAATGCCATTCTTTAATGTCTGGCTCATACTTGGCCATTACAGTTTGACAGTAGCGATCAGTAACTGTCCTGGCACAATGTGAACATTAACTAGTGATTGTGAATTCATACATTACCTGTGCTAACAACTGTACTGGGCAGTAGTGAACAACTTATTATAGCTTAGTGTTATCTTCTATATTCAAAGTTAGGTAATTTATTTAATTATTTTGCTTACAGACCATATGCTAATAGATGGAGTAAGACCATGGTTGGTTATGGACCAGAAGATAATCATTTTGTAGTTGAGCTGACATATAACTATGGAATCACACATTATGAGCAAGGAAATGATTTCCGAGGCATAACAATACAGTCCAGTGAAGCATTGAAGAGGGCTGCGGCTAATAACTGGCCGGTTAAGGAATCTGATGGACTTAAGTTTGTTGAAGCACCCGGTGGATACAAGTTTTATATTATTGACAAACCTCAACCTACAGATAAAGGTAAAATAAATATGTTAAAACATTTACATATAGCTTTAATTCATTTATTGTGCTTCAGTCAACACATGCACTGATTTAGTAATGAAGTAATTGTTGTAATATCAGTTACTGGTTCATGATTTCACATATCATACTAGCTGTTGCTCCCACCTTCGCCTCAACGGCGGATCCAGGGGTGCATAGGGGTCATGACCCCCTCCCCCTGGACTGGTTGGTCAAGAGCTTGACAAAATATATTTACATATATTGTCAAGCTCTTGACTCAACCACGACTATATGACCACCACTCCCTGGCGCCAAATCTGGATCGGCCCTTGCTTCACCTGCATGAAATTAAAAAAGTAATAAATATTATAGGCTATGTTAATCACATATAACATAGCTTTTTAATGGTAAAAGAATTTTTGATATTGGCCAAGTAGTTTTGAGTTATTTCAATATGTACAAAAATACAAATCTTTCCTCTTTATATTGGTATGTATTTTATCTTTTAAATGTTGCAATAATAGATAATTTTACTATGAAGTTTAACACAGGTTCTTTTAAAACAACATTCAATAAATGTTAATTTAATTTGGATTCTTTCAGTCATGACTTTTGGTCAGTTTGCCACAGTAATTGTTCGATTTTTACATTGTCATTTAGACAATTTTCCTTTTGGCACACCTTATTTGCTGAGTTTGTGGTAACATTACACATAAGATGTCTCATAGCATGACATAAAGAATTAGTCATTCATATTAAACCAAATTGCTAAATGAACTAAAGATGCTTTTTAGACTTACATTTACTAAGAGTTCTTATAGGGCAGGGATGGTGAACCTTTATGTATCAACATACTATTTTCCTATTTAACTTTTTAATGTGGTTGTAGATGTCTATTGTAAATTTTTGACTATCAAATACATGCCACATTAAAAACATCACTTTGCATTTGATGCCCAAATAACACTTTTTATAATGCTAAATTAATGAATTTTGTGATCAGTGGTGTGCCATTGGTTTGCCACCCCTGTTGCAAAGGATGTTACTTTTATATAAAGGTTAATATTTGTTTAAACTTGAACAATTTCACAGATAATATATCACTCATTAGATTCAATTAACTTAGATTTAAAGTTTCACTATAGCAACCTACAATTAAATCACTGGCAGACAATAAAATGACAGTCATTGTAAAATTATTACTCGGTACACTTATTTGTGTGTGTTTCTAACTATTGTATGAACACAACCAAACAGATACTTCTCATGTAAGATATTAATCTTTGTGAGATAACATGGTCAGATAATTTTAAACATAGCGAATATGTTATTGTTTCTCTTGTTTAAAAATATTTTATTTTTAAACTAAAGTTGCTTTAAATCATTTTTGTATTTATCGAAGTAAGTTATTCTTTTTTTAGTCACTTTTTTTTCTTTATAACTAAAAGATCTATCAATGCTTGATTGTAAGTAAAAACTTTGTTAATAAATTCCTTGCTATCAATTCTCTATTTCATTTATGTAACGGTATTCAAAAGTTTATTTGCTGTCTTTTTCCTCAAAAATGGTTTTTGTTCTCATGAATTTGTGATGCAACTGTATTGTGGACTCGATACAAGCACATTGTTAGGTTTTTTTGCTGCAATTTTATACAGTTTATACAAAACGATCGCAATTCACTTGCTTACAGATTGCAACGTTTTAAATTGTAACCACGTACGTGCATGCATTCATTTTTTAATGAGTAATGTTTTGTTTTTTCCACATCAGACATAAAGATTTTTCCTAATCTGTTAACATAACAATTCATTTAAGTATAAGTAACATGTATATGTTATATGATAACTTTCCGTAAACAAATGGCTGTGATATCAATGTTTATATCCTTTATCTGATTGTATTTTTGTTATTTGTATTATCATACTAGTGGTTGCACGCGACTTTAACGTTGAATTTTAAAAAAGTAGCCTGGAATACTCTCACATGTTTCAGTTACCTTCCCGTTAGTTATGTCAAAATCGGTTTATTTTTTTCAAGTCCGAGATTATCCGGCCTAACAGACAGACAAATAATTTAAAAATTGTTTTCCCGTATTACCAACGCAAATACTTCGTTGATAAAAATTGTTTTTTTTTTTTACATTTTACATACAGACACTCCACGTTATATGTATGCACTATAGATAAATTATGCAAATGCAACAGAAGCTTAGTTACTATGAAATTCCACTGCCATAATACATCTCTTGTTGTCTCTGTTTTTTTGAAAGGGAATAAGTGATAGCAATATATTATATTTAGTACAACTATTTCTATAGTTTTCTTCATGTATTAGAATTTCAATATTTCATATCAAATGTCAATTGATAATTCCTATGACTATTTGAATAGATTTATCAAATAGCTAGGAAATATTGCACAACTTTTTGCAACATTTTTTAAAATAGATTTTTTATTTTTGATGATATCATCGTGATATCGTGTTTTAGACCGTATTTTCCATCCTTTTACGAGTACATAGTAATTTTTTGATAATATTATTGTAGATATATTCAGATTTTACTTCGAAGATTTTTTACTTTACACTTACATTTTTCATACCTAAACTTTGAATTTATTCTTAAAATTTAGATACATATTTTATAGTCTTAATTTAGTGAGGAAAATATCAATGCTTAAGAATATTATTAACTAGCTTTCGCCCGCGAAGCCGTCCGCATGAAATTAAAAAATAAACATAGCCTATGGTATTCACAAATATATTACCTTTCTAACAGTGAAAGAATTTATGAAAACGGTCCAATCGTTTTTTAGTCTATTCCTTACAATCAAACAAAGTTTTCCTCTTTATATAATAATATAATATTCTATACTAGCTGTTGCTAGCGACTTCGACCGCGTGGAATTAAAAAGTAGTAAAAAAATACTCTACGCAGTGATAATGTAGCTATTTAATGGTGAAAGAATTTTATAAATCAGTCCAATAGTTTCTAAGTTATTTCAATACATACAAAAATACAAATCTTTCCTCTTTATAATATTAGTATAGATAACAATTATTTTTCATCAGATCCAGTGCAGCAGGTGTCACTGTCTTGCTCAAACCTCACTACATCTGTGGAATACTGGAATGGTCTTCTTAATCTCAAGATATTTGAAAAGAAAGATAAATCTGCTGTCTTGGGCTTCGGAGACGATCAAGCTAAACTGGAACTAGTTGATATTGGTGAGTATATTTAAACACGAATCACAATAGCTAAAAAGTAACTAAACAATGAACTTGTAAATTATAAGTTTTTTATAGAAATTTTTCGTCTTGAAAAAAATACTAAATTTGAATATACTATTATAATATTATGAATGCAAGAATTTGAATAGATAGATGATGTTTGAACTTTGAAACAGATGTATAAAATAGTCTGGAATAAAACAGGCTACTAATAAATTTAATTCCAATTCCACACAGACAACAGACGAAATAAAGAAAAATAATTCAAATTCCAGGTGAACCAGTAAATCATGCGAAAGCGTACGGTCGTATCGCGTTCTCTTGTCCGTTCGACGAGCAGCCGATTATAGACGAGAAGGTGCGTGCAGCGAACGGAAAAATCCTTACTCCCCTGATATCGTTGGACACGCCGGGCAAGGCCACCGTGCGCGTCATCATCCTCGCAGACCCCGACGATCATGAGATCTGCTTCGTGGACGACGAGAGCTTCCGTCAGCTGTCCCAAGTCGATCCCAATAGCGACGCCGACCTCGACAAATACATCAAAGCTGATAAATCCAGAGCATAATTGTTTTCATCCAGCATATAAAAGTGTAAGAGCGGGCGCATACATTTGACTAAATTATCGCACAACTGTTGTGATTGGCGATTGTCGATTGTTTCGCAGTCTTCAAATGTTTAGTTGCTCAACTAAAAATCTTGTAATTTGCGCCTCCATATAAGCTCATAGCAATCCAAAGAAGACTAAACAGTTGTGCGATAGTTTATTTAAAGTTGTGCGTTCGCTCTAAGAATATCATAATGTCATGTCAAATCGGAGCCCTAAAATGTCGCATGACTAAACTAAACAATTTTTTTGTCGAACTGTCCAAAATCTAATATACATTTAAATGTAGATAGTGACAAATAAATGCCTATGCTGTAATTTAATAAACTCTCAAAATTTGACGAAAAATTTGTATACCGGCTATATTTTTATTTTATAATAGCGCCATCTAACGTAAACTTTGTTAGCTTTACTTTAAATGGCGCGGTTTTAATGACATTATGATATTGATGCACTGGATTTGTTATTCCATATATGTTTCAGTGTTTATCTTGTATCGAATTTTTATGTTGTAATTTGTGATATTTAAAATCATAATTATTATAAGCTTAACAAAAACTTTGGCAACTTATAAAGGATTATATTTAAATGCTTGCCCTAACTTTTTTCAAAAAAAATGTTGATATTAGAGTTTAACAGTATTTCTTATAATCATGTTTATTGTTTTTAAAAAGTGTACAATGATTAAAAAGACATTATAATGTAAAATATTTATTTAAGAATATAAGTTAAAATTGATACAAATATTTATGTTAAATGTTTTCTGCCCATTCTTTATAATAGTTTAATGTGGATGTGCACATTTTATGTTCTCTAAATCCATGTTTTCGAATATTCACGGTGAAAGTTTATTATAAGTAACATAATTGCTATGAATAAAAATAGCGGCATTTTAAATACATTATCTTAATCAATATTATATTTTTATTTTAATACACTACTTAAAAATAAGAAATATGTTTATTGAAACAAATGAAGATTAATCCAATAACTTAGAACTTATCAAATGACTTAGAATTTAGATTACACATGGCTTTAAATGGATGGATAAATATAAGCAAATGTCTGGACCTTATGAGGCTTATCCATACTAAGGCTTATGTTTACTTTCTAAAGCACATTTCTCGTGACCAAATAAGTACCGGTGCTAAAATGTATTCATCGTAGCAAAAAATCAGAAAATAAGACATTTTATGTCTATTGTATTGTGGAATTGGATAAAAATCTAGTTTGATAACACCAAAAAATAAATTTGCTGAAAAAGATGACAAAAAATAAAACGAAATTGATTCAATTTCGTTTTATTTTTTGTCTACTCTTATTTTTTCTCTACAATATAATGCAGAGTAATGATAATAAAAAAATACCTTTGCCTTTACCACCCTTTTCTAATAAGGAGAGGATGGGAAGGGGAAGTGGATTGGACGGTGGAGGAGATGCATAGGAAAGGGAAATGTCGGATAAGGGTAGGCAACGCATCTGCAATTGCGGATGTCTATGGGCAGCGGTCGCTTCGACACTTTGGCGGATTCAGGTGGCCGGTTGCTAGTTTGCCACCTTATGTTATAAAAAATTTTGTACTAGGGTAAATGCACCAATTATTGACTGATCCTAAATTAAACCATTTAAAGCTAAAACAGGATTCCGACAAGCCCATTCGGTCGTCAATTATAAAGATATCGATCAAATAAGTGAACGGTTGTAGGCAGAGTACGGCATCGCGTGCCGTCCTCGCTTACCGTACCAGCCCTCGTCGGACCGCTTGCTACCCCAAATAACTCACAACTACCCACATTTTGCACGAACTTAAAAATGCTATTAACTTGATTTGTTTTACTTGACTATCATACTGAATTTATGATTCTAATAATAGCTGTAAATTGCAATAAACGTATCGAGAAACTCGTGTTTTTAAATATTAAATACCTAATGTTATGATGTCAACTGTCAGGTCCATCTGGTAACTCCAACTTTCCTATAGATTTAAAACCCAGTAGTACATTTTAAGTAAAAAGAATGAATGAAATGAAAAAATTCACTGTCTTTTTAATAAGTGGAGAAACATAAATGTGTGTGGTAAAGTCGCTGTCATGGATTAGGGTCAGCGTGCGTCATCGCTTTGGTTTACAATTCTAGTTAATTTGTGCTTGAATCATTTTAACGTAAAGATTCATTTCGATAACAAATAATACGAAATAACACTTAATGTATATTTTAGTTATTTCATATATTTTAAATCACAAGGAGTAAGTAGCAATAGCAAATTTTCTATGTTTTATAATAATTTTTCGGATACTGGGCGAGGTTACCTCTTGAACTAAGATTAGACCAAGAATGCTGCTGTTCGATAGAGATAAAATAGAGACTTGTTATTAAAATATTTCAATTCAGTATAACACTTTAATTCAGCACAGTCACACCCCTGCGTTCAAGAAAGATTTTTCGAATTGGAGATATAGGACTAGTGTATCTTTTTGTTATTATTGATTAACATACATTGATACAAGTTATGTACTTTAAAATCCACGGAGAGGAAAATGTCATTTGTGAAATTCTACTACCAGCACAGTAGGTAGTCACAAGAATTATTGTGGATAGCATCTGCCTAAGATATTTTACAGCTAGGCTTATGTCGTTACTAAAAATTGCGAAGGTTATAATATATAGAAATAAGGAAAGAAATTAAAATGAATGCATTTTTTAATTATTGGTGGCCACTAATTACCGAATACCCGAATGATGGGGTTATCACATGCACAAGTTATCACGTCGATAATAGATCCGCGACCTATCGTACATTTCATCGCAATCGGGGATCCGGCTGATCAATGGTAAGCGGTGGGG